ATATTAATGTTCATGGGGCGCCTGGGTGGCTCAGTTAGTTAAGTGTACAACGTGGGCTCAGGTCGTGGGCTCAGGGTTCGTGAGTTTGAGCCCCATGTCAAACTCTGTGCTGGCAGCTCAGAACCTGGAGCCGCCCCCCTCTGCCCCTCCTCCCTCGCTTGTGCATTCGTTCTCCCTCTCTCTCTCTCTCTCTCTCTCGTAAATAAACATTAAAAAATTAATGTTCATATTAAAAATAAAATAAGTATAAGGGAATCCTTAAGTTCTGATCATTGCTATTATAATATTTTAGTGCTTTTATGGAAATATAGAATGTCAGATTCTTAAAATTTATTTTTCTCATTCCTTTGGTGTCTCTTGGCCTGGTCACATGCTCACACAGCCTCCTGGGAATTCAGCTCTGGCTTGCAACCCGCAGGGTCCCAGAGACCAGTCAGGAAGAGAGGCCCAGGATTTCCTCTCTGAAGGACCCCTAAAATTAAAAAAAAGGCCTCCACCCCCATACTGCCCTCCACACCACCGTGCCTGCCAAAGTACCAGGCGCGGCAGCCCAGCCAGGAAACAGGAGACGCCGCTAGTCAGTACCCCCTCCCTTCTCCTGCACTGTCCAAGGCCTCATAGTTCCAGAACCAGAGCCAACTTTCTGATAAGGGCTGGGCGGGTTTGCGGGGAGCAGCACAGGGAGTGCCAGGTTGTTAGCCTGTGACCCAGCCTCTCCCAAGTCACTCGGCAAATCTGCTTCTAAGGGACATTGATTTCCTGGCTTCCTTTAGAAAGCCTGACTGGGCACCTGGGGCACCTGGGTAGCTCAGTCGGTTAAGCATTGAACTTCAGCTCAGGTCATGATCTCATGGTTTGTGGGTTCGAGCCCCGCATCGGGCTCTGTGCTGACAGCTCAGAGCCTAGAGCCTGCTTCAGTTTCTGTCTCCCTCTCTGTCTGCCCATCCCCACTCGTACTCTGTCTCTCTCTATATATAAAAAATAAACATTAAAAAAAAATTTTTTTTAAAGCCACTCTATCCAGCCTCACCGAGGGAAAGGGAGGAGGCAAGGAAGAGAACAAGGTACCTGGCTGGGGTGAGGCAAGTCTAAGATAGAGCACCTGAATGGAGAACAGAGGTATAACTGCCTTCTTCAGAGCATTTGTTTCCCATCTTGTTAGATGGGTTACATTCCAAAAGTCTGTTAGGTTTCTACTAAAGTAAATCAACTAGATCAACTGTTCATTGAGTATTTACTATGCACGCTAGATGTCCGTTGCTTTACTTCATTGAGAATCCTTTGAGGCTATTCTTGTTTTCACATTGTGGGTAAAGAAGCAGAGGCTCAGAGATGTTAAGTAGTTTGTCCCTGGCCACCCAAAGTCAGGGTCAGGAACAGATGCTTGATTCCAAGCCTGGTGGCTAGTCCATGATGCCACACTATTTTAGGCAATACATAGTCTCCAGATTAAGCCACTAGAACCCCTTTAATCCATTATGCATCCCCAAATAGTATACATTTGGAAAGAGAAAAAAGAAAATAGTACTGAAATTCTAATAAATTAGTGCAGAAAAATAATCAAATGGACTTGGGGAGTATTCTTTTGTCTAGAATAAGGGTTCCTTATGGGAACCCTTTATTGAGAAGAGGTTGTGGAGGTCGCTGAAGGCGGGTATAATGAAATTCACAAAACAGAGGCTGGATACTTGCAAACGCTTAGGAACTTGCCCATCCTGGCTCTTAGTGTCTCATTTCATTCTCTGTTTGCACTTTTTCCTTGAAACAGCAGCTGTGATTGGAATTGATTTAAGAAATACAGCAGGAGCGCCTGGGTGGCTCAGTTAAGTGCCAACTTTGGCTCAGGTCATGATCTCGAGGTTCATGAGTTCAAGCCCCACCAGCCTCTGTGCTGATAGCTCGGAGCCTAGAGCCTGCTTCAGATTCTGTGTCTCCCTCTCTCTCTGCCCCTCCCCCTCCCCCGCTCATGAGAGCACGTGCGCACTCTCTCTCTCCCTTAAAAATAAAATAAATATTTAAAAAAATAATAACAATAAAAAAAAGAAATACAGCAAAGAGGAGCACCTGGGTGGCTCAGTCCGTTAAGCATCCAACTCTTGGTTTCAGCTCAGGTCATGACCTTGCAGTTCGTGAAATTGAGCCCCACATTGGGCTCTGTGCTGACAGCACACAGTCTGCTTGGGATGTTCTCTCTCCCTCTCTCTCTGTCCCTCCTCCCCTGCTCACTTTCTCTCTCGCTCTCTCTCAGAATAAATAAACCTAAAAAAAAAAAAAAAAGAAAGAAAGAAATATAGCAAAGAAAAGTGAGTGAGAGAACAAGGAAGACAGAAAATTGTTTCCATATAGGTAACACAGCAAGGAGGGTAAAATTGGAGACACAATGTGTGTCTGCATAAGAATTAAGCAGCTGAGGTGACATTTCTTTTAATCCATTGATGAGGCTTTAGCAGTGACAAGGGCAAGCAGGGAGCCAAGTGCATCGTTTCCCAGAAGGGTAGGGCTGGTGATAGGTAAGGACAGTGAGTCACACGCTTCTCTCCACTGGCCTCCAAACACGTGGCTGCGGGGAGAGTAACTTCCAGGTGTGTGAGGACAGGCAGTGGGTAACAGGCATTTGGGCCACAAGATGTTCTCCAGTTACACTAATTTCCCCGGAGGATCACATCCAGCTGTGATATCATAGCGGTCACATCACCTACATGCTGGAAGATTCTAGCTTCTCCCCTGAGCTTCAGGATCATACAACCAGGGCCGTCTGACATCTGAGTGTTCATCTTTGTCCCAACCACCCCCATCTGTTCCCCCCCCTTGGTTTCCTCGTACAGTCTATAGCATCGCCATCCAAGGCAAAACTTGAAGAGCCATCCTGGATTCCTCTCTTTCTTTTCTTAAAAAAAAAAAAAACTTTTTTTGTGTTTATTCATTTTTGAAAGAGAGAGACAGAGCGCAAGCAGGGGTGGGGCAGAGAGAGAGGGGGACACAGAATCCGAAGCAGGCTCCAGGCTCTGAGCGGTCAACACAGAGCCCAACACAGGGCTCAAACTCATGAACCATGAGATCATGACCTGAGCCGAAGTCGGACGCTCAACCGACTGAGCCACCCAGGCGCCCCCAGGATTCCTCTCTTTCTTTCATTCCCCACAATTAACCCATCATCAAGACCCAAATAAAATTCCCATTTCCTACCTTGGTGACACTCCCGCCTCTCCCTGTGGCCTCATCCCACATCCTGCTTCTTCACACTTCTGTGTTCCAGCCTTCGTTCTGCTCCTTGGACACAGCAACATCGTTCCTAGCTCAGGGCTCTGCATTGGCTGTTCCTCTGCCTGGAATACCCTTTCCTACCTCATTGCATGGCCAGCGACTTCTCATTCTTTAGGGCTCACATCAACTATCAGCTCTTCAGATGGTCCTTCTCTGACCTGGTCCTTCTTCCTTCTGGTGGAAAGTTTCTATTTAAGTTATTTTCCATCACATCGCCCAGTTTCTTTTCTTTATAGCACCAAAAGTGCCCCCTTTACTTGTTATCTGGGTTTCTATCGTCTGTTTCTATCCACAAGTGTATAAGCTCCTTTAGGGGTATCTCGCTGACCATTTCAGGGTACCTAGTACATTGTATGAATTAACAAATGAATGCATGAAAACAGAGTGTTGCAGGTTCCTTTTTTTTTTTTAGTGTTTATTTATTTTTGAGAGAGAGCATGTGCACAAGTGGGAGAAGGGCAGAGAGAGAGAGAGGAACAGAAGATCTGAAGCAGGCTCTGTGCTGACAGCAGAGTGCCCGATGTGGGATTCGAGCCCACAATCCACGAGATCATGACCTGAGCCAAAGTCCAATGCTTAACCGACTGAGCCACCCAGGCGCCCCATGTTGTAGGTTTCTAATTCAAAAAGATGTATGTAAATCATCTCTACACCCAGCGAGAGACTCAAACCCACAACCCTGAGATCAAGAGTAGCATGCTTCTCTACCTGCACCAGCCAGGCACCCCCCAAAATGACTTTCCTAAGGAGCCAAATTTTTCGACAAACCATAGAATTGAGAGCAAGTGCATTTGTTGTTCACAGGGCCTTAAATATATATGGCGGGGGGGAGGGGGGGATTGTTTAGGAAGAAGCCAGAATTAGAAAGGGAATTAATTCCCAATCCAGGCATGACAAAGCCCACAGGTGACCAGCCCAACTTCTGATCAATACAGGGCAACTCCCTGAGCATCTGGGTGGCTCAGTCAGTGGAGCATCCAACTCTTGATATGGGCTCAGGTCATGATCCCAGGGTCATGGGGTATAGCCCCGCATCGGGCTCTATGCTGAGAATGGAGCCTGCCTGGGATTCTCTCTCTCCCTCTCTCCCTTGCCTCTCCCCACCTCTCAAAAAAAAAAAATAATAATAATAATAATACGGGGCAGCTCCCTAGAGAGGAGAGATGCTTCAGGAGCAGAGTTGAGGCATATGAACAGTGTATATTTATATTTATAATAGCTACTCTGTATGGACCCCTCCTAGGTGACAGGCACTGTGTTGAGTACTTTGTATTCACTATTGTGATTAAGCCTCACCAAAAAGCCTGTAAGTTATGTACTATTTCTAAGCCCCTTTTACAGATAAGAAACCTGTGATTTACAGAAATAGCTTGCTAACTGAGATTAAAACCCAGGCCGACGTGACTCCAGAGCCCCTAACTCCACTGTGCCGCGTGCCCTGCTGTGATTGCTGACCATGCCACGGTGAAATATGCTGGGTGGGGACTGCTTGGCCAGTTTGAGAATGAAGGACACTAATGTTCAGAAATATTGAGTGACTTGCCCAAGACCGTCAAGTTAGTCAGTGGTGGCCAGGAACTGAGTCTATATCCTTCTGACTTTGGTCCCAGGACTCCTTCCCCTTTGTTGAGATGAAGGTGAGATTGGGCATGATATATGTGCCACCGAGTCTCAGAGACCAAGGGAGGGGAAAGGATGCCACACCATGGGAAGGCTGACACTCCTCTCTCCCCCAGGCATTCCTGGAGAAGTACGGATATCTCAAGGACCAGGTCCCCCAAGACATCACCTCGACAAGATTCAGCAATGCCCTCAGGTAGGATGGAGGGATGTGGGGAACTTGGGGGTGCTGGAGAGCAAAGCTTGGGTAGCCTCCTCCATCTTCCTGGGAGGCTGGCCTCCCACCTGTGTCCAAGGGCCACACTCCATGGCTCCCTCCCTTCTCTGTCCCCAGGGAAAGCTCCCTGCCCTCACCTCCACCCCCCACCCTTGCTCTGTGACCCTTTATCTCAATTCCTCCTGACAGAGAGTTCCAGTGGGTGTCCCAGCTGCCCATCAGTGGCGTGCTGGATACTGCCACCTTGCGCCAGATGACACGGCCCCGCTGTGGGGTTGCAGACACAGACAGTCAGGCAGCCTGGACGGAGAGGATCAGTGCCTTGTTTGCTGGACGCCTGGCCAGAATGAGGCGGAAGAAACGCTTTGCAAAGCAAGGTGAGTGAGCCCTGTTTAAATCTAGCTGAGCTGGGATTCCTCAATACCCAGAAGCCCCGTGGCCGGAGAAAAACCCAGTTCAGCCTCCAAGGGGCTTTGTCTGTAAACTCTTCCCTAGGGCGAGAGAGGGGTGAGCAGTGGGTAAGCAGTGGGTGAGCAGGACCCCTCAACTAGAGGGCCGTGTTTGTGAACACAGACATTTAAATCAGAATTACACCCACGTCGATGAATTTTCATTGGGCACATATTTTCCAGAGCAAATCCCATCAAGCCCTCCATCAGTTTGTGATGCAGGGCAGTTCAACTGTTGCCAACATTTTGCTTTATAGTGTCCCAAAGTTATTTTCGTCAGATTCAATGCCTTTTTCACAAGAATTCTTCAACAAAGACGTGACTTATTGATCAGTTTTATTTTGTCTACAGCACATTTTAACAGCTTTATTGAAATATAATTCACATACCATAAAATTTACCCGTTTAACAAGTACAATTCAGTGGGTTTTAGTATATTCGCAGAATTGTGCAACCATTACCACCGTCTAATTCCAGAACATGTTCATCACCTCAAAGAGAAACCCCATGCTCAGTAGCAGTCACTCCTCCTCCCCCTCCCCTCCCCCCTACCTCCTATCCCCTCCCCACAGCCCCTGGCCACAGGAAATCTACTTTCTGTTCCTAGTAGAACAGATTTGCCTCTTCTGGACATTTCATCACAACTCATTTTACACACCACAGTTTCTGCTATTGTGATTTTCCTTTTGTAGTTTTGTTTTTATCTTTCCTTCTCCTCCTCTTTCTCCTTTTTGTCCAAATGCAATCTTCCAGGGTCAAAAGTTACAGGTCTAAGATTTATGAAGATTTGATTACTTCTAGCAATTCTTCATCAATAACAGGTTTTACTGTGTGTGGTTTTAACATCTTGTTTGTACTAATTTTCTCTGATCGATGTTGGCAGTTCTTAAGATTTCCAACAAGATAGGCTTGTTCAGTCAGGCTTTCATCTACAATTGAGTTTACCATGAGCACTTTGGGTCATTGCCTCTTTTAATTTGCATTAACCACTTTCGCCGACGATATCTGTTATGAGCAGATCAGGAGGCACATAGGTCGTTTTTATTTCTTAGCTAATCCAGAAGGAAGTCGTGGGCGGCTCCCCTTACTTAGCTACTGGAGGATGGCAGCGATGGGGACCAGACTCTGGGCTCCAGACATCCTTGGTGTCGACCTGTTCTGCATCCCACTGTGTTTCTGGACAGGCAAGGTGGAACGGAGGCGCAGCCTTCCTGGAGCTGGGGCTCTGGGTTCAGCAGTGTGTCACTGCTCCATTTCCTCACCCAAGACCCAGGCCCTTTCTGCCTACAGAGTAGAGATGGGCCCTGACCACCCAGGGTTAGGGGCTTGCAGTGGAAGGTGGGGGCAGCCCCAGACACAGTCTCAGCATGCCACCACCAGGCTAAAGGTGGTCTCCCAGAGAACTGGGACGATGCCTCCTGGGCATCCAGGAGCAGTAGGGAGACTTCCTTCTGGTGACATCTTCTCATGCCTTCTCAAGGGAGTATCTGAATCCGATGGAGTCCATTTGTCGTTGTTTAATTTGGAGCCTCCATCTGGGACAGAGATTCAAGCTAAGGCATCTCCCAGGCAGGTGGCCTTGCCTTGCCAACCTGGCCCCATGCCACTGTCTGACACTGACCCCTGGTCCAGACAGCAGTGGCCAAGTTAGGCAGGGACTGTCCCTCTTGCTCACAGCGTGACCCGAAGAAGCTTGACATCCTTTATCCCCTAGGGGAAGAAGTTCCCTAGAAAGGAGCTGTATGCTTGGTAGGCACTGAACACTTCCTATGTTTTCCTTAGGAAAGAAAATGTAATAATAACAGTTGACCCTTACTGAGCATTTATGATTCGCCAAGCATGGTTCTAAATGGATTAACTCACTTAATCCCATAACAACCCTATGAGATGGGTGCCATTTATCCTCATTTTACAGTTAGGCAAACTAAGGGACAACGAGCTTGGGGAACTTCCCCAGGGCCACATAGCCAGGGTGTGGCCAAGCCTTCTTGTCATTGGGAGGACTGAGTGAGATTCCACATGTGAAAACCCAGAACATGGGTAGGTGCTTTAAAAATGATGTGGATTTCCAGGTCCATGACTGTCTATTCTGTGGAGAATGCTATGCTGACAAAGTCGGGTTCAAGGGTACGGTTACCGGACAAAATATAGGATGTCCAGTTAAATTTGAATGTCAGATGGACCAAAAATAATTGTTTTGTTCTCACTTACAAAAAGTGAAATAAAAGAATTATTTGTTGTTTATCTGACATTCAAATTTAACTAGGTGTTCCATATTTTTAATTGCTAACTCTGGCAACCTCATTCTGAATGTCTGGTCCACTCTGTGCCTGCAGGGGAGATTTTCAATCCCCCTTGGTCCTTCATGGAGCTGGTGGGGGGTTGGGGCTGGTGGAGGTTGGGGGGCGGGGCACAGGGGTGAATCTGGTGGGGGTGGAGGGGATACAAGGGTGAATCTGGTGGGGGTTGGGGAGGCACAGGGGTGGATCTGATGGGAGTTGGGGGACATAGGGGTGAATCTGGTGGGTTTGGGGGACACAGGGGTGAATCTGGGGTGGAAAAGGAAGGAGAAGTGAATGGGTATTTACTGAGCACCTACCATACGCCCAGCAGCTATATGTTGCCATTTCATTTGCCATTTCATTTTTACCAGAAACAAGTCTTATAAATTGCACTTTGCAAATAAGGAAACTAAGGTTTGGAGAGATTCCATAATTTGCTATGTAAGGTTATAAGTAGAAGTACTGGGATTCCAACCCATCCTCTTTCCTCAGTATCCATTGCCTGTTGGACGTCAGGACTCCAGGGTCCTCCCCCAACGAGGTGTCTGCACTCCTGGTGTCCTTTACCTTTCCTCTTCCCTTTTGGATTTTGGAGCAAGGGTGTGGGGGATGCACTGCCAGGTGCTTCTGTGGCCTAGAAGTCGCTACAGAATCCAGCCTTGCCTGGCCCGGAGTTCAGGATGGGGCCGGAGGCGGCCAGCCTGCTCTAGGATGGACAGAGGGCTCAGGCTGCTGGCCAGGGCATTCCTTCCTTCCTGGCGGGCACACCAACAACCCCTCCCAAGAAAAATTAGCCATTTTCTTCTCTCAGTCCTGTTCCTGTTTGTCCTCCCCATCCTCCCCCAAACACATGCACACACACACACACACACACACACACACACACACAGATTCAGAGGATTTTTATACTGTGAGCTGTCACCTTCCCTGGCTACCTACAGTGAGAGAAGTGCCCACCCTCTCCCTTTCTTGTCCAGGGAGTAAGCCCCCCCTCCCCCACCATTGGCAAAGAGGCAGAAGGAGCTGCCTCACACTTCTAGAAGCTTGAAGGTGGGCGGGGAGAGTCTGGGGGTCAGTCATCCACAGCGAGGTGTGGAAGTGCCCAGCGCCAGCCAGTCCAGAGCCCTCTGAGGCACCTCTGGACCCCAGACCTTCCCTCTGCCTTTCTTTTCTCCCTCCCTTCCTAAGAATCCCTCCCTCTTCCCTCCCAGAGGCTGGGTCACTGGCTGGGAGGGGTTGGGTGGCCGCCAGGCCAAACAGGCCCAGGGAGGCAGCATTGCCTTGAATGGCGCTTGGCTCAGGGTGGGAGAAAAGACCCGCCCCTCCTCCACTTCCATGGGGGATGAAGGGGGGCGCGGGGGAGGGAAAGGGCATTCAGCTCCTCTGCTCTCTACCACCCTCCCTTCCATCTGGAGAATTTCAGCTCATGCAGAGCCCCTGTTTTGACTGAAAGGAGCCATGTTTACACAAATGTACAAGCCCTGAGTCTTAGCAAATGTGCCTGCTTACCTGTGTAGTATAGTGGAAAGTGCACAGTGTCAGATGTCAGGGCCTGGGCTCAGGGCCTAGCTTGGCTTCTCACTCATTCTGTGACCCTGGACAGGTCCCTTCCCCCTGGTCTCAGTTTCCCGAGAACACAGCAGAGAGGTTGGTAAGGAGATGGCCAACCTTCCATGACTTTAGCCCTCTTCCCCAGTTTGGGCAAGGACTTCCCCAAGACAGAAGGGCAGCAGGTCTGAATCTTCAATTGTTCCTCCAAGGAAAGAGAGGGCTGTGCTCACTGGCCTGGCCACCTCCTTGTCACCCGTACATCAGGAATTGTGGTCCATTTGGGAAACTGGGGCCCCCAAAATAGCATGATACCTGTGCACTCCCTGGGCCCATGAGGTCTGCCTCTGAGCTGTGAATCTTCCACCACCTGGGGTCACCGTCTCAGCCCCTGAGCTTACAAGGCTCAGAAATAGTTTGTGAAAAACTCGGGTTCTGAACCTTCTAAGCACCCTGGTCCTGGGTGTGTGGTGAGCTGTAGGGGGTTGACCTGAGGCTTGGGCAAGAGTCCAGAGTCTTAGGCCTAAGGGAGGAATTACAATTCTGAGCAAAGGAATAGAAACTCGTAACTAAGTGGAGATGGAAAAATTTCTCTCCGTCAGTGAGTGACAAAACACACCCTTTGTTCTTATTTGTTTTCACCTCCGAGCTCTTGAGAGTCCCTGAGGAAGTGGGGGGTGGGGGCTAGGGGTCAGGGAAAGACGCTAATAAACGGGTCTTGGTAGCTTCTCTGGCAGCAGGCCTGAGGCGCTAGAACAGGAGGGGCAGGTGGGCCTGAAGAGTAGAGAGGAAGAAGGGGTGAGAGGGGGTCACAGCTGTGGCCCCGGTGGCCCCATCTTTCCTCCAGCCCCTGACACAGTAGGCAGGGGTAGGGATTTGTTGCCAGCAAGAGGTGCAGACTTGTTTTCAGGCTCAGCCCAGGCTGTGGGGAAGAAAAAGACGCCAGACCAGAGAGTCCTTCAGGTTTTGGGGGCTCTTCCTGGGCAGAGATCACATTTTCCCCGGGGACCTCCCCCGACTAAGCCACTAGACCGGGGACTCTCCAGGACAAAGGTAGTCCTGTGTGCAAGAGAGCAGTGTCTCCCCAGCCAGATGGGATCTTCCCAGGGCGAGGGCTGTGCCTTTCTTGCCTTCACATCCAGGACTCCCTGGACGAGGGCCTGTCTCCCCATCATACGGGTCCCCGGGGACCAGCACCAGGTTCTGCAGGCAGGTATGACTGATGTGGCCTCTCTGGCTGGCAGGCAGCAAGTGGTACAAGCAGCACCTCTCCTACCGCCTGGTGAACTGGCCACAGCACCTACCCGAGCCAGCAGTTCGCGGGGCTGTTCGAGCTGCCTTCCAGCTGTGGAGCAATGTCTCGGCGCTGGAGTTCTGGGAGGCCCCAGCCACAGTCCCCGCTGACATCCGCCTCACCTTCTTCCAAGGGGACCACAACGACGGACTGGGCAACGCCTTTGATGGCCCAGGTGCTGACACAGAGGCTCTCTCTCCCGTGGCAGGAGGGGAACCCAGTAGAAAAGGCTGTCTGGGGAGGGCAGTGGAGCCTAAACTCTCGCTTTGGCCTTGACCGAGCTGCATTCCCTTTTAAAGAGCTCTCAGGCTCCTCATCTATAGAATGGGAACAATGGTTTCCGTCCAGTTGTGTGCCACATGGCTGAAAGGACAGCCAGATGAGCGTCTGCATGGAAAGTGCTTTGCAAATTCCAGAGTATTTTCTGGGAGAATCTTCTGAGGTCCCGTCATCCATCCTCTGCTTCTAGAGAGCCCCATGCCTCTCCTGTCCTCCAAACATGGATATTCTCCAGCCCAACACCCTGAACACACCCAGAGGCCACCGCTACCCCATTCCTACCCTCCCTGCACCCACTACCACAGTCACTGCCACAGGGCAAGAGAGAGGCATTCTACCCCCTACCTGTCACGGAAGTGCTTCCCATTCCCACAGCCCAGACAGTTCTCCTGTTTGCCCCCAACCTAAAGGCAGTTTAAACTGCTCTCCTCCCATTCTGCCCAACACTGACCTTCAGAACCTGAACGCAGGCTCCCTGTGCATCTCCTCCTGCTAATGAGGGAAGGAGACCTGATCAGATCCCTTCCTGGTGGGGACTTGAGACCTTGCGTGGCCTGGGCAATAGGGCCCACACCTCCCTTACACTCCTCTGCTTTCCAACAAGCCCACTCAGAGCAAAGCCAACATCCAGGCCCTGCTGGTGGTACCCAGGGCAGGACTGGGAGAAATCTAAGCTTTTCAGGAATCCACATGTAACACATACGTATTCTTACATGTGAGTCACTTCACCCATGATATCTACATGAGATGTTTATGCCCACACCCAGGTGGGGTCCGGTGGCTAAGAGGGTTCTGGACCGGGAGAAAGCTCTCTGATTTAGAACAGGTGCTTTGTCTTCTTGAGTTTAGGCCTTCTCCCTCTGAAACCTGCCATCTGTCTCCCAGGGTTACTGGGAGAATTGAATGGAAAGGGCTAACATTGCTCGAGGCATATTCAAAACAGGAGGCATGTATTCCTCGTACATACGGCCCATTCCCCACACTCCCTGTGGTTCTCCTTTAATGGCAGGCATTCCCCGTTGGCCTGGGCCCCAAGAAGGCAACGCTGGAAGCACCCTCAGCAGGCTTCTAGGCCAACATCATCACTGCGCAGTTCACTGACCCCTGCCCCTGCAGAAAGTGAACTGTGAACCGTGAGGTCCTGGGAACTGCATGACTGATAAGCTCCCTCTGGGGCATGTCACAAGCTTGAACATCACTGATCCAGCTCACTCCCTCTGCTCACTCCTACTACAACCTGGCAGGTAGAGACCCACAAAGGGGCCCCGGCAGAAGAAGGCAAGAACACAAAAATATATATACTTTTAATTAAAGATACTATACACACCCATACACATATCCAGCACCCAGATCAAGAAACAGTACCAACATCCGTAAGGTCTCATCATGCCCACCTCTGGGATAACCACTACACCTATTCCCATATCTTTTTGAAAATAATTCCTATGCAGCATTTATTACGGGCAAGGCACTAAATATTACACGTAACACACACATATACCACATCCCTCTTTAATCCTCAGCATAACCCCGTGAGGAAGAAGCTCATTATCATCATTCCCATTTCAGATCAGAGGGGGTGCTACTTGCCCAAGGTCACACAGCTAGAAAATAGTGAAACCAGGATAGAAGACCAGGCAGTTTGGTCTCATGCTGTGTGTATACCACGCTGCCTCTTAGGCGCCTCCACCCCATAGCCTCGCCATCAGTTCACCGCTCCACAGTTCAGCCTCTGACAGACGTCGTTAGGAGGGGAATTATGCAGCAGAAGACAGCCACACCCACCCTTTGGCCCCTGCGCGGGACGGTGGAATTTGGGGGTGTCGCGGGCGGGTGGCTCCCCCTGACCCTCTGCGCCGCCTGCAGGGGGCGCCCTGGCGCACGCCTTCCTGCCCCGCCGTGGCGAAGCGCACTTCGACCGCGACGAGCGCTGGTCCCTGAGCCGCCGCCGCGGGCGCAACCTGTTCGTGGTGCTGGCGCACGAGATCGGCCACACGCTCGGCCTGGCCCACTCGCCCGCGCCGCGCGCGCTCATGGCGCCCTACTACAAGAGGCTGGGCCGCGACGCGCTGCTCAGCTGGGACGACGTGCTGGCGGTGCAGGACCTGTATGGTGAGCCCCCGCCGCCCCGCCTCCGGGGCCTGGACGCCCGCGCTGCAAGCCGGCCTCCCCGCCACCGGTCCCTCCCGATCCTGAAGCCGCAGGCTCCCCTCAAATCCCAAAACCTTCGCCCTCCTGCTGTCCCCCATGCCTGGCCTCTCTATCCCGACTAGGTCCCGCGCCGCACAGCCTTCCCTTCCATGCAATTCTGGATTCCCGCCCAGCCCCGGTCTTGGCAGTTCCTCTCGCATCCCTGCCCAGTCACCCAGACCCAGCCAGGGGTCCCGCGTCTTCCCCCATGCCCCCCCTCGCTCCCGCTCCGCTTCCCCCCCCCCCCCCCCAGCCTCCCGCGTCGCTGACGCTGGTACCCACTTCCCTCCAAGCCTGGGCCTCTGCCTGGAGGTAGACTCAGACGAGGTCTGCTCCCCAAGATGAACTGACCAGTGCTGCCGCCCAACCAGGGCTGTCCTCCCTCAGAGTGCACGGTGCGTGGGCAGGGCCGAGAGCCCATGCCATTCGTGCTAAGCAGCTGCTCTTGGGCAGAGCATTTACCCTCTGGGAGCCCTCAGTTTCACCTTCTGCGAGACAATAACTGCTTACCTCACAGGGCGGTAGTACTAGTGGCCGTAAACTTCTCTTGTACCCTAAGAAACCTACACAAACAGCTACTATTTCATGGATGTATATTACCGGCCAGTCACTTAACATGCAATACACTCACGACATAAGTATCCTTTTGTCCACTGAGGAGGAGAATGGGGCTCAGAGAGGTTAGAACACTTGTCCAAGGTCACACAGCTAGAAAGCTGTAGACCCAGACGCAGGAGCTGGTGCCAAATTCTAAGCTTGTTGGACTCTGCCTCAGTCTCCTAAGTGAAATAGTGTTGTAATTATTATAATTGCTGTAACTATCACAGCCTGGGCCCCCGAACCATGTCCTCATGCCATCTGTGTTGCCCAGGACTCAGGGAAGAGAACCTTCTGCCCTTCTTAGTGCCAAACTCTTGTTTGGTCCCCCACTCCAATGGGTCCCTCTCTCCCAGACTGTTGAGCAGAAGAGAGGACTTTTGAGTTTAGTGCTGTGGTTAATACCAACAACCAAGGACCATTCTTAACCCACCCCCAACCCCACTCTCCTTCCCTGCCTCTCATACCAGATAAAGATGAAAGGAGCCAAAGGGGAGGTCTTGAGCCCTCTACACCCGCCCCAACCCGTGTGTGTTCTCTCCCTCTTCTCTCCTTCCCCGTGAAGGGAAGCCCCAGGGGGGCTCAGTGGCCATCCAGCTCCCAGGAAAGCTGTTCACTGACTTCGAGGCCTGGGACCCCCACAGAACACAGGGAAGGCGCCCTGAAATTCAGGGTCCTAAATATTGCCATGCTTCCTTCGATGCCATCACTGTAGGTAAGATGGTCCCACGTGTGCCTCACTTCCTTTTTCCTTCCTCCCCCACATCTCCAGGGGTCTCCAGAGCTGGAATACAAGGTGGGGTTATGAATAATAAAATCCAGAAATCCCAAGCCACAAGCATCCTGCAGGGTAGCAAGCCCACGCCAAGCAAAACCCTGCTTCGTCCTGTGCACTTCCCTCTGTCCCAGCTGAGCAGGCCACATCTTCTCTCCTCTGCCTGGGAAGCACTTTCCCTGGAAGGAAGGCAGGAGGCCAGTGGTCACTCCTCAACTCTCTTGTCTCCGGACAGATGGGCAACAGCGACTGTACGTTTTTCAAGGAAGCCACTTCTGGGAGGTGACACCGAATGGCAATGTCTCTGAGCCACACCCACTACAGGAGAGGTGGGCAGGGCTGCCCCCCCACATTGAGGCTGCTGCAGTGTCACTGGATGATGGGGACTTCTACTTCTTCAAAGGTACCAGCCCTGGGGCAGATGAGAAAATTGAGGCCTAGAGAAGGGAGGTGTTCTGTCCAAGGTCAACAGAAGGGAGGAGTCTCAATTCCAATCTGAACCTGTGACCCCAGGGACCTCTACTAGGAGGTTCCTTCAGTGATGGGTTGGGGGGCGTGGGTGTGGAGGTTGTCCCAGAGAGAGAGGGTGGGAGAGCTGCAGAGAAGAGTCTAGAAGGGGAACAGAGAACCACTCCCAAGCTCTGTGATCCAGCGGAAAGTCCTACCTCCTTGGCATCCTGGCTGTGTAAGGTTGGGCCTGTCACTTAACTCTCGGACTTGAATTTCTTGAATGAGGAAAATAATCCCTCAGGTTTCTTGGGGAAGGAGAATTCAAACAGCATGATGTCTGAGGAGTGTGCAGTATATTGAGTAGTTTCATTCATCCAACAAATATTGAATGTCTTGTATGCATTAGACACTGTTGGAGGTGTTACAGCTACAGTAGTGAACAAAACAGAAATCCCTGCCTTCATAGAACTCTGTAGAAAAGATGGTGATTGGCCTTCCTGATAGTCCACTCCCTACCCAGGGAGGGGCCTGCTTCCCGCCTCCCAGGGATGGGTTCCCACAGTGCCCTCTGCCCTCTGCTGACACCTGCTGGAGATCTAGGCCACAACAGTCCCTCCGTACTGGGTGTAACGAATTATTAGTGCTGTGTGATCCATTTTGATTATCACAAATACTAACCACCTTGGGCTCTAGGATGAGGGGGAGCAGGGGAATGGGAGGACACAGGTGAGGTGGAGGACCAAAGGGTGAGAGCCACCCGCTCACCCTGGCTCTCCCGATGCCCTACAGGGAGCCGATGCTGGAGGTTCCGGGGCCCTAAGCCAGTGTGGAGTTCACCACAGCTGTGCCGGGCAGGAGGCCTGCCCCGTCACCCAGACGCGGCCCTCTTCTTCCCTCCTCTGGGTCGACTGATACTCTTCAAGGGTGCCCGCTACTATGTGCTGGCCCGAGGTGGACTGCAGGTGGAGCCCTACTACCCCCGAGGCCTGCAGGACTGGGACGGTGTCCCTGAGGAGGTCAGTGGCGCTCTGCCCCGGCCCGACGGTTCTATCATCTTCTTCAGGGATGACCGCTACTGGCGCCTTGACCAGACCAAACTGCAGGTGACGGACTCGGGCCGCTGGGCCACAGAGCTGCCCTGGATGGGCTGCTGGCACGCCAACTCGGGGGGTGCCCTATTTTGAAGACGCCCCCACCTCTTAGTGAATTGATGCCCTATGGCCAACGTGTGTCCCCTGCCCCAGGGGCAAGTCCTGTCTTGGAAGCCTCTGAGCCTCCCTGCAGAAGACCAGACCACGTCTGCATCTGTTCCCTGAAGAATGTGCTCTCAAGACATTGAACTTTGTGGGATCAATCCAAGCAAAGCCGAAAAGGGTCTCAAACCTTACCCCAAAGGACTTTCCTCCCTAAGCCTTGGGGATTTTGTTCCTTCTGCTAAAGGTGCCCTTCCTGTCCATGAGGCCGTGGGAGGATGTAAACCTCCATGGAGAGGTTGCGACCACTTGGCAACCTCTCCTTCCCCTCAGGACCTCCTGGCTCAGTTCTTGGAGAATTGTCTTAAATGAGAGGCCTCACCTCCAGGAAGCTTGGGTGGGTTGGGTACAAGGATTTCCAACCTCAGAGAGCCTTGGGTGGGAGGGAAGGGGGTGGTTAGGACCCAGAGCAAGAGGGAGACTGATGCAGGCCTGCTGGGCCTGACTTTTGGTGGGGGGTGGGGAGGCTGGAATAAAGAGGTGCCCCCCCCAGCTTCTGGGCCTGGAGGCAGGCATCAATCTTCCTTGGGATGGTTGCCAGTGAAGAACAGGTGGGGCACGAATGCTGGAGAAGCTGGAACCATGTTCTTTCATCCAAGCCAAGACTTGTGTGTGAGTAGTTGCGATGCGGAGAGGGGGCCTGAAAAAGCAACATGTCCCCGCCCTCCCTTACCCCCCCCAGGCCAGATGGAGAGTCATGGGTGGCAAGGAGAGGACAGGGGCCTCTCTGGAGGGCTGCTCTGCTGCAGGCGCTGGGGTCTCTGCAGGCTGGGGGAGGCCTGGTACTCACAATGGCCCCATTCTTCGGGCCACACACGCAGCATTCCAGGAGCTCCTGCTGGCTGGCCAAGAATAGCTGGGATTCCTGGAGAAGGAACCAGCTCCCCAGCCTCTCTGTCTTCTGCCTCAGGCAGTCTCCGTCTTAGCATCTGGGTCTCTTGTCCTCCCCCCTCCACACCTGCCAGTGCCTCATTTGCACACACATTGACCTTGGCAAGACCAGGCTTCCAGCAGAAGGGGAGAAAGATCTGGCAAGATTCAGCCCTCAGCTCCCCACGGGCATTTCTGGCCCTGCGCCTTCATTTTCTTCTCTGTGCAGTGGGGGGAAATGGCCTTTGACTGCCCTTGGATGCAACTGCTTTGTTCCGCCCAGTCCTGGTGGGGATAGAGGGAGGAGGCTCTTGGCCTGCCCTTTTCTCTCTGGCTTGAACCCTGGGGAGGGGAAATGAGGGTCTTTATCACCCTCAAGGGAGCCGCCTGGCCCCCACCTCGAGGCACTGACACTTTGATTAGAGGCTTTATTGAATGAGGGGCAGGGGCAGGTTTCTCAGCGGTGAGGGAACCCAGGGGTTAGTTTCTCGAGGCAATGCCTCTGCCCACTGGGTCAGACGGACCTGAAATACCCAAGAGATGAATGTGAGGCTGTGCCAGGGGACGTGAGTCAGGTGGGCGGTAGGCACTGTGTGCCCCCCCCCCCCGGGGCGGAAGCCCTCGGGAGGCGCTAACGGAGGCATGGAGCTCCCGGTGATGCTGGGCTCAGCCTTGGGTGGACGCTCGGTGACAGGTGGGCCCACTTGCCGGCTCAGAGGAGGCGCTCCGGGCAGGGCGGCTCTGGGAAGGGGCTGTTCTGCGGAATGTGCTGGAGAACGCCCCGCGTCAGAGGAGAGGAGAAGGTGGCGGGGAGGCTGGGGTCAGGCGAGGACGTAGGGCACAAAGGCTGGCAGTGGGGGCGCTCAGGGGCCCCCGGCGGCCCCCGCGCCCCCCGAAGCCCGCGCCTCACGCAGATCCGGGTGTTCCAGAAGGCAGTGCGCCACGTAGGCCGGGTGGCTGTGCAGGTTCCTGCACTTCTTGCAGAAAAGGATCTCGCAGCGCGCACAGCCCCCGGCGCGCGGCGGCCGGCGCCGCGTCTCCAGCACGCACGGCGGCTCCGGGAGGCTCCGCTTCCTGCGCGGGGCCCGGGACGCTCAGTGCCCCGCCCGGTCCCCGCCCACCGCGGCCTCGCGCGTGCGGCCCGCCCCGGCCAGGGCGCGCCCTCACCTGTCCGCCGGAGCCGCCAGGCCGCCGAGCAGCACGAAGGGGCTGAGCCAGCCCCAGAAGCCGCTGTCCGCGAGCCGCAGCAGCGCCACCTGCTGGGTGCTGGACTCCTGGCGCAGCGGGCAGTAGGACACGGAGTCCCGCTCGCGACCCTCGCCGCCCTCCGCCTCCCGGCACTGCGCCTCGCCCTCGGCCGCCGTCTGCTCCCGCGGCCTCTCCTCCTCGTCCTCGTCGTCGTCCTCCTCTTCCTCCAACCCCTCCTCCTCTTCCTCCGCCGCCGCAGCCTCTCTGGCCTGCGGCTCTACCAGTTCCTTCTTCCACAAGGGAGTCTTCACTCCTGCGGGAGGGAGGAGGTCAGCGCGGGCCCGCTGTCCCCGGGGAAGAGCCGGGTACCCTGACTGTTGTCCACAACCCGACCCCCCAAAGAGACAGGCGCCTGAAGGACGGTGTGCACGAGACGCACCAGGCTAGGATTTCGAAGAGAGTTTTACGGAGTGTGCAGGATTTTCCCGGACGAGACAAGGCCTGCAGGGCTGTCCCCCCACCCCCCCGCCATTTCCTAGGTTTCTACTCTTCCTTGCTGAGGATTCGGGGCAAGTCATGTCAAGCTCTGTGTCCCCATCTGTCAAAAGCGGTGCCCATCGTGAGGCAGGTATCAGGTCGCATCTCTGTAAAGTGCCCAGCCCAGGGCTTGCTGGGAGGCAATCATCAAGGCGCAGCAACTAGGGCTGCGACCCTGAACCCGAACCCGGAGGCTGTGCTGGCTCATCACCACCTTCCTTCTCATTGGCTCTAGGGTGGGAACTGATCTCTGTGGAGGCTGTCAATAAACACTGAAGTGCAGCTTTTCTAGAGAGTTGTTTAGATTTTGTTTTCTGGGTAGGATTTCCTTCTTCAAAGTGGGCCTTGCCTTAAGGAAGCCCAGCTGTGATGAGGAAAATAATTGAAAAAAGTGCCCCCCCCCCCTTTTGGGATGAGCACTGGGTGTTGTATGGAAACCAATTTGACAATAAATTTCATATATAAATAAATAAATAAATAAATAAATAAATAAAAAAGAAAAAAGTGCCCCCTCTGGGCAGACTAAAAACCCCACTATAGGGGCGCCTGGGTGGCTCAGTCGGTTAAGCGGCCGACTTCGGCTCAGGTCATGATCTCATGGTCCGTGAGTTCGAGCCCCGCGTCGGGCTCTGTGCTGACAGCTCGGAGCCTGGAGCCTGCTTCCGATTCTGTGTCTCCCTCTCTCTCTGACCCTCCCCCGTTCATGCTCTGTCTCTCTCTGTCTCAAAAATAAATAAACGTTAAAAAAAAAATTAAAAAAAAAAACCCACTATATACACACACCATCAGCACCACCACCTACAACAACAACATGGACAGGCCAGTTAAGAAAAGGAGTGGTGCCGGGAGTGAGCCAATTAGGAAAAGCCTCCTTCCGGGCTTGACCCCAATTGCCAGCTGGATTTCAGCCACCACTGTCCCTCCCTTGTTGAGAGCACTCATCACAGTAGTCTTGGCAGGCAGGAAGTTCCCCCACCCGGGGCGGGGGGGTGGGGGGCATTGAAAGTAACCTGGCCTCTCCTGGGAGGTGTCCACTACTCAGCAGCCTCCCTCTCTTCCCCTGGCGCCACCGTGTGCCCTGCTATCCGCTGGATCTGGGGAGCTAGACTTCTAACAAAAAGCAGGGGGAGGAGGGCAGGGAGGATACAACCGTGGTTTGCCCTGAAAAGGTCAAGAAAATTGCAATTGACCCCTGCCTGTCCTGTTTAAAGAGGTTGGGAACAAAGGAGAATGATAAAATTAGTGTTCCAGCTCACATGTAATGAGCACCAACTCATTACGACTCACACTATGCAATCACTGTGCTAAACTCTCCATACATTGTGCCCCTTCTTCTTCACAACCATCTCAGGCAGGGACGAGGTAAGTCACAGAGGGGCCTCTGAATTTCATCCAAGCCTTCTGAAATCTTTCCCCAAAAAAGTTGTTTCAAAGCTTCTGCCAGTTCTTGATGTTGCTGAAGCTGGAAAGCCAGGGACCACTGCACTTTTCTTTAGGAAAACACACTAAGGAGCTTTTTGGTCGTAAAAGGCCAGACTTAGCGCGCAGCCAGGAAGGGGTGCTGGAACTTTTTGAAATGGGAATAGGAAACGACGTTAGACAGGAAGGTTGGGACTTTGGGTGACAGGCTGTGGAGTTTGGACTTTGTCGTTCCAGGGTGGAGCCACTGGACATTCTGATGGAGGGACATGCTCAGAGCTGTGTTTTAGGATGGCCTCTCTGCAGGACAAGGGAGACCCACTTAGGCATCGTCACCGTGGTTCGGGCAGAGAAGACAAAGGTCCCAAAAACAGCAGGTGAAGACGAGGGAGCAGATGTCGAGAATATTCAGGAAAGAGAGAGGAGAGGGCTTGTACAAGTAACTGAGGAAAGGCTGGACTTCTACTCTGGCGTTGCTATGGTGATGGGTGAGTTGGTCCACACTGGGTTTGCATCCACACTTAACAGGAGTCAATGGCCCTGTCCTCAGTCCCCACCCTGCCTCCAGCCCCACTCACCATGCTTATCCATTCTTGCCAAGGCTGGGCTGTCCTCTTCCCCTGATCAGGGACTGGGATGAGAGGGAAGTCCCAGGACACATAGAACTTTGATCTCCAGGGCCTCTGTTGGATCACAGGGGGTGGGGCTAGAATTTTACCTGCCCAAAGGGTCCCACCAAGGAATAGCTGCCTTTTCTAGAGCCTCCAAGAGCACTTAAACCTTGGTGTCCCCTACCTTCCCCTCTTGGCAAGGCATTATAAGAGAGAAAGGAGTGGCTTTGGCCTGCCGCAGGCTGGGTTCAAATCCCAGCTCAACCACATAAGCGTAAGATCTATCTGACCTTCAGCATGTTGTCTCTGACCCTCAGTCTCTTCATCTGTAAATCAGAGATAGTCACACAGTACCAGACTTTACCTGGCCTACAGAAAGCATTCAAAGCATTATGTTTATTTGTATCATTATGTTCTCTCCTCCCTTTTCTGTCTTTATCCTTCCTCACTCTGGCTCCCTCCTCCACTTACTTCCAGCTCATTGCCTTAGCTCCAAGAAGCAGAGGACACGCCTCCAAGTCCAGTAGGAAGCAGGGCCCAGGCAAGAGCTGGGTGTAGCTCCAGAATGTGGTGTGGGTGTGTGTGAGAACTGGAGCTGGGGGAGGGGACAAAATCATGGAGCCTGGAAATGAGTTTTCCTGGCCTTCACAGCGGCATGTGTTGGCCGAGACAGGACTATGCAGAGGGGTCAGAGGATGCCAACCCAGCTCTGGAGAGCCTCAGTCTGATGGGGAAGAATGATTTGGTTTCCCTTCAAGTCTGAGGGTGGAGGAGAATGGCGTCACTCCCTCGGGCATCTCCCAGTTTGGTGGAGGCAGGTGGGTGGGACGGAGGACAAGGAGAACAGAACGGCTCCCAGGAATGTCCTAGTCACATGGGGACAATTCTGTCAAGAACTGTGGAGCGTCTGAAGTTTTGCTCTCAAATGCTAACGAGTTAACTTGCCCGAGTGTCACGGGTGTGCCGAGAAACACGAGGCTCCTGGGTCAGAGACAAGGACTTGATTCCTCATGGCACAGCAACATCAGCATATGTGTGTCAGCACCTCTTGCTGACATGGGTGTCACAGGGATGGGTGTCAGTGAATGCCTGCATGTGCACTGGCTTGCATTACAAGAGGAACTCTGAGCTTAGGAACGCAAATCTTTTTATTAACTTTTTTTGAGGGAGAAAGGGGCAGAGGGAGACAGAGAATCTTAAGTAGGCTCCACGGGAGCCTGACACGGGTCTCAGTCTCACAACCAAGAGTTCATGACCTAAGCTGAAATCAAGAGTCAGACGCTTGACCAACTGAGCCTCCCAGGGGCCCTGGAACACAAGTCTTTTCTAATGGGCAGCAAGCAAACCTGCTCTCTGCTCCAGAGAGAGACATGGTCACTATCTTCCAAAGGTTGTTCACTATATAAGCATCCTTGAAAAGTCCGTGCCTCTATTTGTGAGACAGGCAGAAATGCAAAAGACCCATGGAGAACTGTCTCCCAACAAACCTGTTTTCCTTACATTTCCTAAAAGAGCTTAGAGCCACGAGGATTCCTCATTGCAAAATTCAAAAGCTCACTCTGGCTAATTTATTTATTTATTTTTAATATTTATTTTTTGAAAGAGAGAGAGAGAGAGAGAGAGAGAGAGAGCATGAGTGGGGGAGGGGCAGAGAGGGAGACACAGAATCGGAAACAGGCTCCAGGCTCCGAGCCATCAGCCCAGAGCCCGACGCGGGGCTCGAACCCACGAACTGGGAGATCATAACTCTAGCCAAAGTCAGACACTTAACTGCTCACCTGACTGAGCCACCCAGACACCCCTACTCTGGCTAATTTAAAGAGACAGAGCAGCGGGAGCTCACAGAGTGGCCAATTTGGCAATCGGACAAGGAACTATAGAAGGCTGGTGAGGGCGAGCACAGCTGAGAGTACACCACAGGAATAATACAGTTCAGAAGCCACTGCGGGGGACACCTCTGGTCACTGGCGCCATGAACAACCTTCTTGAGTCACTACCTAAGATTTAATGTCCCTGGCCAGGCACATCCAAACCACTGAGTCTGTGCCGTGGCTTTTTGGGAGCATCCCACGAACAACCATGACAGGGTGTCCCTCATGTCTGGTCATTCACCTCATCCCGCCTCACCCACTTCAACTTGCCCAGAGGTCCTTTGTCATCCTTAGGGTGTTCATTCACTTTCTCAGGGATATTCTGGGTTTTGTGGGACCTTCATAAAAAGCGGGATTGTCAAAACAAACAATATCAGCATAAAACTCCATTGGAAATTGATCACAGAGTAGTAATAGAGTCAGCAGGGAAAGCACGAGAACAGACAGGTAATCCCACTCCACCAGGGACATAAGCATGCCTCCTGGACTCAGATGCCAAGCTGGGAAGACCCCTTGAAAGGGGAGAAACTGCACTGATGTGTGAACTCAAAATTGGATCTCTATCCAGAAGAAACTTCTTTTTTTTTTTTTTTAATTTTTTTTCCCAACATTTATTTATTTTTGGGACAGAGAGAGACAGAGCATGAACGGGGGAGGGGCAGAGAGAGAGGGAGACACAGAATCGGAAACAGGCTCCAGGCTCTGAGCCATCAGCCCAGAGCCTGACGCGGGGCTCGAACTCACGGTCGGCGAGATCGTGACCTGGCTGAAGTCGGACGCTTAACCGACTGCGCCACCCAGGCGCCCCCAGAAGAAACTTCTTAAAACCGGAAGAGAAGGAGCTACATTTTATCGGCAAGCATTATTTCCTGCCATTCCCAGAAATCTGGAGAACAAGATGAGGTTGAGTGTCCAAAGTAAAGCTATAATTTTTGTACTTTTTAAGATTTTAATATGTAAATTAATGGCACATATAGCACATTAACTTGTAATGACCAGGTATAACACGGAGATTCTATGTTCATTTTAGTTGAGCAATAAAGGTAAGTTGCAAGAAGAAATATCCAATAAGGTGGTATGTAAGGGTTACCAAGTGGGAATATATATATATATATATATATAAAATATATATACACATGTATATACACGTATATATATACATACATACATATATTCCCATATATGTATATATAACAAGATTTATAATATATTTTTTAAAATATATATTATACATATTAAATATATAACAATATTTTATATTTAAGAGATTGGAGCCTCTTACCCTTTGAACATCATGTCAGTGAGGCCCTCCCTTGACCACCTCCCATAAAATTCCACCCACTGCTCCATCTCCCTTAGTGCTTTATTTTTCTCCCTGGTATTTATCACCATCGGACTAACTCTTGATTTATTTGTTTGTCACCTGTCATCCATCCCCCACTAACATGTATGTAGCCTCCATGAGGTCAGGCACCTCATTTACTGCTCTGTATTCAGGCCTGTAATAGTGCCTGGCACACAGGAGGTACTTGATATTTATTGAAGGGATGTGCTGCTGTGGCCAGGGTGAGGTACGGTGGTTGACAGCCCCAACCTGCTCTAGAAGAATCAGTGGTGGGAGGGGAGGATGGAGCAGGTTCTCAGAGAAAGTGGAGATCACCGGGCATAGAGGGGGCTGCTGGGAGAATCAGCGAGAGCTGGGACCCACCCAGTCCTGTGTGTGCGTGTGTCCTGAAACTTTCCACCTACATAATTCCTTTAGTCCTCACAACACCCAACAGAGGTGGACATTCCCATTTTACAGTAGAGGAAACTAAGGCACAGAGAGGTTAGGTAGCATATGAAAGTCCCAGGAGGAGAAAGGAAAGGGGCCAGGGCTGAGCCTTGTCTTTAGCCCCTATCACTGTCTCTTTCATCCCCACCTTACAGTGCTCACTAACACCAAGGGCCTCGGCAACCCCTGGCCCTGCTTTTCTCCCACAATTCCCAGAATCCCCCATGCTTCCAACAAGGGAGAGAAGCCCGCCTCAGCCTCTCCTCCCTGCTCCATTGGATCCCAGGGCGGGCTCTGCAGGGCAGTCCTCGGCTGGCTGCCAGGAAGGGTTAACAAGGAGTGTTTGTAGCAGCCGCTGTCTCCAAGGAGAGGAGGGGAAAGCAGAGTGGAGAGGCGGACAGCCGGACAGCCGGGCTCCGCCAGCCGCTGGGGGGTGGGAGGCAGCCAGTGGACCTGTCTAGTCCTGGGGGCAGAGAGCAGTGTCCTCACCTCCACCTGTCCCGGGAGGTGGCAAACTCTGAGAGAACTGGGCAGCCCAAGAGTGAGGTCACGGCAGGGCCACCAAGTAGGGAAAGTTCCGGCAGGGACTGAGGAATGTGGGGGGGCGGGGGACCAGGCTGAAGCCAGCAGCAAGTAGCAGAGCCGGAAGTTCTGGGCTCTTGGAGGGTAGACGGGGAACCCCTGAGTCAGGGTCAGCCACGACCCAGCAGGTAGTAGTGAAGACACAACAGCGGCAGAGAGGAGGCACCCACCTCCTCCCTGTTGAGGGTCCAACCATGTCCAAGCCTAGGGGACGTGGGAGGAGGCCTGGGACTGTTGGGCCACCAGTGTGTAGCATCCGGCCCTTTAAGTCCAGCGAGCACTACCTGGAAGCCATGAAGGAGGATCTGGCTGAGTGGCTTCGGGATCTCTATGGGCTGGACATCGACGCGGCCAACTTCCTGCAGGTCCTGGAGACAGGCCTGGTGCTGTGCCGGCACGCCAACGCCATCACGGAGGCTGCCCTGGCCTTCCTGGCTGAAGCACCTGCTCGAGCCCAAAGGATGCCCCTGCCTCGGGCTGGGGTTTCCTGCAACGGGGCTGCCCAGCCGGGCACCTTCCAGGCCCGGGACAATGTCTCCAACTTCATCCATTGGTGTCGAAAGGAGATGGGCATCCAAGGTAACCACCCTGCACCCTCTCCCCAGACCCTTATCTTGCCAGGCATCCACCTACTCTCTGAGGCTCGGGCTGCAGCTGGAGTCAGGAGCCAGGGTCCTCTTTCCTCATTTGGGCCAGCTCATCCCTTCTCGTGCCTCAGTTTCCCCATCTCATAGTAAATCTTCAAAAAATAAACGTGTTGAATGATTCATTCATTCAACAAATATATAGTTAGTCCCTATCTTTGTGCCCAGCACAAAGGACCAAGAGGACTAAGACTCAGTGTCCAAAGAGCTCATGGTCTTAGAGAGACAGATGCATAGATACACAGATTACAGTCCAGTGTGATAAAAGCCCAAAATAGAGGTGTGTGTGCTGGGCAATCAGGAGAGGAAACAGCTACCTGATGAGGTGGAAAGTGGGGGCCAAGAAAGGCCACTCAGAGGAGGGAGACTTGAGCTGAGTCTTGGGGAACAAATAGAAGTTTGGAGGAAAGGGAATTCTAGGCAGGGGACCGCAGGGGCACAGGCACAGAGATGCTGTGTTCGGATGACTGGCAGAAGCCAGTGTGGGTAAGGGCACAGGGCTGGGGGGGGGGGGGGGGAGCCCAAGGGGGGTAGGCAAGTGGACATTAGGGAGAGGCAGTGGTGCTGAGGCTTGTGAGTCGCAGAGGAGTAACCCGCCAGGATCCCTCATCTCCTAGGCCTTGGATCCGGCAGTGGGATGAAGCTGGATATTGGGCCATCCTCCAGGTCAAAGGCAGAGTGGGGTGAGACAGAGGGAAGAGTCAGGCCAGCTGCTGGCTGGTGGCAAGGCAGAGCGGCTCAGGATTGGAGGGCTGAGAAAAGCTAGTGTCTCACTGAGCACTTCCCGTGTAGCCAGATTTCGTCTGCAGACACTTAACAACTGTCTTTACAACAACCCCATGGTATAGTCTATGCCCCATCTGACAGAGGAGGAGACTGAGGCTCAGGTTCTAGCCCAAGGATACACAGCTGCTGGGTGGGAGAACTGGGACGCCAACCCTGACAGTCAGGCTCCAGAGCCTGCACTCAGCCCTGCCTGGTTAGATGTGGGCTGAAGGTTGAGTTCCAGATGTCTGCTGGATATTGGAGGTGGGCTGCGTGGGTGGGAAGCAGAAGTGCTCCTTGCTCCTACCCATTTTGTCAAACTGAATAGGAAGAAGGGCAAGGTGGAGTTAACCCACAGCTGGGCTCCGGGCTCGTGGCTTGGCTGTGTCACCTCCTTCCCACCCCAGCCTCTCTTGTGAGACGGGCCACCTAGTCTGCACTCAGTGCCTGTGCAGTTCTTCTCAGACCCCTCCTAGGGGGCTGGCCTGACTCCAAGATCCTGCCATCCGAGTCACCCCCTCGGGCCTCCACCCGGGACCAGGGATGGCCCCAGGGCTCTCCCAGCTGCCTGCCCCCTTCCCCCACCTCCGCTTGCCAGAGGTGGTGATGTTCGAGACCGAGGACCTGGTGCTACGCAAGAACGTGAAGAACGTGGTGCTGTGCTTGCTGGAGCTGGGCCGCCGAGCCTGGCGCTTCGGTGTGGCGGCGCCGACCCTGGTGCGGCTGGAGGAGGAGATCGACGAGGAGCTGCGGCAGGAGCTGGCCCTGCCCCCGCCGGACCCCCCGCCGCCCGAGCCCCCTGCGCGTCGGCCCTGCCACTTCCGCAACCTGGACCAGATGGTGAGGGGCTGGGGCACGCCCTCCAGGCCCCGCCTCCCTCTGCCACGCCCCTCCCCCAGCCCCGCCTGCCGGATCCGATCCACGCCCTTCTCGAGCTCCAGCCCCCACCCCGTCTGAATTCACAGCGCGGCTTTAAGTCCTGTTCCACTCTGAGCCTCAATCCTCATCGCATATAGTAGCAGCTAAATCGCTTATTACGTTTTTATTACAGTCCGGCGCTCTAGACCTCTCTGAGTCTCTGCGGGACGGCTTTTAAGAATTTTCTGACACCTTGGTTCAAATCTTAGTTCCACTGCTCCCCGGCTGTGTGACTTGGGGCAAATTATTTAACCTCTCTGTGCCTCAATTCTGTAGCGTGGAGGTGTAATAGTACCTTATATGACTGCTGAATATTAAATGAGCCACTGCGTATGAAGTGCTGGGAACAGTGTCCGGCACAGAGGGGGCGCTTCATAGGAGCTAGCTCTTACTGGGATGAACCCATTTCTGCTATCCAGGAATCGAGCTCAGGGAGGCTCCTTAACTTGCCCAAGGCCTATGGTGCGGTGGAGACAGGACTCCAGCCGACGCCTGTCAAATTCCAATGTCCATCTTCTTCACCATTACATTCCACTGCCTCTGTCAGCTGACCCACAGACCACTGGACTATAGGTGACTGGACTATAGGTCTTGTTTTCACTGGGTCATTAAAAGTCTTCTGCACTTGCTTCTCAGCCCCCAGCCCTGACCTCAGCAGAAGCCAAGGTGCTGGCTCTGGGGACAGACCAGCTCCCTCTCCCCGGGCTTGATCCAGGGTGGGGAGTAGGGAGCTTGGGCACCTGTGCAGAGGGAGCGCTGAGCCCATCGTCACTACCCACAGGTACAGAGCCTCGTCAGCCACTGCACGTGCCCAGTTCAGTTCTCCATGGTCAAGGTGTCTGAGGGGAAGTACCGCGTGGGGGACTCCAACACTCTCATCTTCATCCGGGTAAGTCTGGGACAGGGGTGGGGGTGTCCCCCAGGATCTGCAGAATAGAGTTTCCTTTCATGGGAACATACCCAGGACTGAGGGCAAGGACAGGAACTCATCATTCACTCCAACTTATCGGGCCTTAGGGCTTTCTTTCTCTCCCTTGCAGAATTCCGAAGATTGTTGGCAGAGTTGGCAATCCTATCCCCTCCTCCCATTACGGCAGCCAGAACCCTGTCCCCGTCTGCTCCACCTTAGCTGAGTGCGGAGGGGTGTCCAGGCAGAAGTGCAGTGTGAAGGGTACTGCTGAATTTCCTTTGCCTCCACTCCATCCACATGCCTTGTCAGAGTAGGGGGCCTGAGAACCCCAAGTTTGTGTTCAGTGCATGACCCAGCCACATGGGCCCCATAGTCCACCCTTCACATGCCTGGCTTGGTACATTCTGTGGAGTGAGCAGTAGTACAGGTCTGAAACGTACCTCTCATACCCACACCCTCATACCTGGCAATGCCTTACCAGAAACAGATCGTACCCAGAGGCTTGGCCAGCAGCTCATAGGTATGCACGCCCTTTCCTTGATCACGGGTCATGCCTGGGGGCAGAGCCAGCTCCCTGGGGCTCTCACCCAGACCCTGGGCCAATATAGCTCTGTGAAGTAGGTAAGGACAAGGGATTGTGTTCCTCAGTTGAAAACTGAGGTGAAAAATGGAAGCCTGGAGAGACTGTGACTTGCCCCAGAATGGGGTAAGACCGGGATTCCCAGGGATTCCTCGACACACACACACTATAGAGCAAAGCCAGGGCCACGTTTCTGACATAGGCATGTGCAGGTGAAGGGGGAGAGGAGAGTGTTCTGGGGCCAGGCTGCCCAGTGCTTGGGAGATCCCTTGTCCAGCTGTGGGGCAACTCTCTGTCAGCCTGGTCACCACCCTTAACAACACATGCTATCCAATGCTAGTTGTGGAGAAGCAGGCTGCAAAATACACACCTGTGCGGAGTACCTGCGTGTGCATATGTACATGGATGGGAGTGTATGCTGGAAAACTGTGGGCCGCTCCAGGAAGAGGGAAAACCCTCCATCCCATCCTCAACCTCATCCTTGTCCTCTACAGATCCTCCGGAACCATGTGATGGTGCGTGTGGGGGGCGGCTGGGACACACTCGGCCATTATCTGGACAAACATGACCCCTGCCGGTGCACATCCCTCTGTGAGTCCTCCGAGAGTCCCTGTGGCTCTGGGTCGGGAGGCTGGGAGCAGAGGTGGGAGGTAGGTCTGATCTCCAGGGCCAGGAAGTATGCAGGGGATGGAGAAAGGAAGATACTATAGAAGGTACTGGTGGAAGAAGGAGGAGGAGAAAGAGAAAAAGAAGAAAGAAAGAAAGAAAGAAAGAGGAAAGAGGAAGGAAAGGAAGAAAGAAGAAAGAGGGAAGGAAAGGAGAAGGAGGAGAAGGAGAAGAAGGAGGAGGAGAAGAAGGAGGAGGAGAAGAAGGAGGAGGAGGAGAAGAAGAAAGAAGAAAAAGATAAAGATACTGGTGGGATGCCTTCAGACATGGGAAGGAAGCTGGGCAGCCAAATTGCAATACCAATTATACCCACAAGATGACGCCAAACACACAGAATCAGCATTTGGTCAGGGTGCCTCTAGGCAGAGCGTGGGTCAGCCTCCAAAGCACCGAGTATGACTTGGAGGGGTCTTCAGTCCTTCCATAATTTCTATTAGCACCTCAAGCTACCCTATATAAACATGCAATCTAAGTAAAAGGTTTGAACTTGCAGTATAAATGCAGCTTTAAGCAAGTCCCCCAGCTGGGCCTTCTGACCGGATTTCATCCCCTGAACCCCTAAAAGGAAGCTCTGGCACCGGCACTGGTACTGTAGGTCCCACTGTCTCTAATGTGGGTTGTGGGCGGGGGGAGGTAGGACAGTTGGGGGAGGAGAACAGTGGGCTCCATCAGCAGGAATTTAACCCCTTCTTCCTCTCTTCTCTCTGGGGGCCTGTGTTGGTAGCACACAAGACGGGCAGTTTCCAGAAGCCCCCTGTCCCACCGGTGCAGCATGAAGTGAGGGTGCAGGATGGGCCCTCGCTGCCTCAACCTACGATGACTATCAGCCGTTCCCAGAGCCCGCTGCCCCCCGTGGACTGGAAGACATACACCTCTTCAGGCCGAAAGCTGAGGGCCCTCACCTCCTCCTCCCCTAGAGCCCACAGTAAAAGAGGAGCAGAGGCGGGACTCCCCAGAGAGACAGCATCACTCCTGAGGTACAAGGGAGAAGGACAGAGCAGGGTCTCTTTCCCCTACGGAGTCCATATTCTCAGGGGGCCACCCCACCCCAAGATAAGGGAAGCAGGTGTCCTGGCAGTGTCCTTATCCCAGGTGTTCAGAACCAAAAAGGCATCCAGTCGGCACCATTGGAATCATGTAGCTTTTTCATATGCTCTCCCATTTCACAGATGAAGAAGCTGAGGCCCATAAAGGGAACAGATTTCTCAAGGTCCTTCTGCCACTTCACAGTAGAATAGATAGACACTCCCTCTCCCAAGACTGGTGACCTTTAGTTGTGGGACCTGAAGTAATTCGGGGTCCAAACCAGGCTTCTTTCTATCTGCTACACAGGGAATGAGGGAGAATAAGTCATAAGGAAGACTCGGGCAGGCACAGAGGGAGAGAGCATCGGTGTCATTCAACATGAAGTCTGGTCCCCTTGGTGTTCTGGCTAGGGAAAGGTCCTCCCTTCCCAGAGCCAGGGGAATGGACTAGATGATCCTGTCAACCTTGTGATTCTCCCTTTCAGGTGCCAGGAGAGGTCACCTACCCCATCTCGGAGGCAGTTGCCAGCTCGGGACAGCCCACCTGGCCCCCAATCCTCATCCCCCCATAGGAGCCAAGACCCACAGGGCACCTCCTCAGGGAAAAAGGAGGAGAGATACTCCCCTGAACACCCCAGAGGAAGGACTCCCACATCTTGGGTTCATGACGGGATAGACAGCCAGGGAACTCATGCCAGAGCCCCCACCTCCCAGAGATTCCGAGCCCCTGAAGCCACAGCCAAAAAGACACCAGTGAGAGGACCATCCCCACTGTCTCGTTCCTCCAGCCCAGCCAAGCCCGTGAGCCTCAAGCCACCACCCAGGGGTGAGGCTGAGGGTGCTTCTGCCCAGCTCAGGGAGCCAGCAGCTGTCTGCTCTCCAACCCCTGTTAAAGGGCCCACCAAGATCCCTGTCCGATTGCCCCCTGCCCGCCCCCCAACTCCAGGAAGTAGCTTCCCAGGTCCTGCAAGTGTAGGTACCATGACAGAATTGGGGAGCGGATCCATCCCAGTAAGGGCTGTCACTGGGGACCCGGCTGGGTGGAGACATGAGGACTCCTTTGTGGATGCGAAGCAAGGGGACCAGAAGCTGGACATCCAGGTGACAGCAAAGGCTGGGGAGCCTCGGGGCTTGGGCCCACACGAGTGGGAGGGGCGATATCCTCCCCTGCTCCTGGGTGGGACCAAGGATCAGGCCATGTACCACACGCTCGAGGAAGAGCTTTTGACCAACATGAAGCTGCTAGAGGTGGGAGTTGCCTGCCCCCAGGGCACAGGGTCTGGGGTCATCCCTCGAAGTGGAGTCTATGTCCCCAGCCTATGTGGGCGATGGCCTGAGCCTGGGGGTCCTTATGACAAAGTCATCCAAGAACTGGCTCAGGGTCCCCCAGCCCTTCTTAAAGTGGACCTGGGAGCCTGGAAGGCAGCCCCTACAGGTTCCCCTAAACTAGCTGCTACCACAGGCCCAGGAAGCCCTAAAGGGAAACTGGGAGCCCTTAAGAGTGAGCCAAAGGTAAAGGCAAGCCTGAGTGCCAAGGTCACCAGAGTGAAGAAGGTCCCAGCTCAAGGAGGGCAGGGCTGCTCAGCTCCTACTGTGTCTGCCAGCCTGGAAGCCCCCTCACCTTCACCCTCGGACCCCAATTCTGACAAAACCAAGCTATGTCTGGGCAAGGCCAAGAGAACACTCCGAAAGCCCCAGAGAGTTCCATCCATCTACAAGCTGAAGCTGAGGCCCAGGATCCGGCCCCGGAGAGACCACAGGCCCGAGAAGCAGCCTTCACGCATCCCGAAGCCACTGGCCTACCTCCACCTGGGTTCAGCCAGGGCACTCCCCAGAGGCAGGCTGGTGAGAGCAGTGCTGGACAGCAAGGGAGTGGAGTCCCACCCAGTGGATGGCGCCTCAGCAGGGGAGGAGGAAGAAGGAAAGAAGTGGAAAGAACCAGCTGCTCCACTGAAGAGCAGCCTCCAGGCTTTGGAGGGTGGGGGTCTCCAGCAGATTGATCAAGACCCACTCCAACCTGAGGAGGAGTCCTGGGTCTGAGGAGGGGCCTTCTCAGACCTGAAGCTGTGGTTCTGGGGAAGAAGGGAAGTGAAAAGGATGCCATGTAGCTGCTGGACCCCAGTTTTGAACAGAAAGTTAGGTCCCTCACCTCTATCCAGGGCCTTTGTCACGGTGGGGGGGGGGGGGGGGCTTGGTGAGGATATGGGTGGGGCCAGAAGACAAATATAGACTCAGTCTGCTTGTTGACCAAAGGGACCACTCCAACTCCAGGGACACTGGGGCCACCCAATGTCTTCTTGCCTTCCCCCAGAACAGCTCCCCAAACTCCTGGCCTCTGGCCATGCCTACCATTTCCACAACTCTTATAAGTTATTAAACACTTGTGGGTCTGTTCCTGAGCCCCCAGCTTCTTGACTCCCTCACTCTAGCATTGTGGTGGTGCAGGAAGGTAAAGCTTCAAGTGTCACCCACTGGAGTGGAAGGGGATGAGGCGCAGGGAACTGGGGGTGAGAGATGCTTCCTCTCTTGAGGTTCAGTCAACCTAGCCAGACAGCCAATCTCTCCAGGAAGCTGCTTGTGTGTCAGCACCATGGACAGGGGCAGAGCACTTCAGGACTTCAAAACTTTGCCTCTGGGGTTTGGGAACTGAGATCACTCAGTCAAGAGGGATGGTTGAGATTGTTCTTATCCCATTCACAGCCACAAAAGGGCTGCAGAAGCTTGGTCACGAGTGGGAACACAGACACAGCAGCAGGAGCTGGGATTGAGTCCAGTTATGAAAGTTTTCCCGAGAGTGGGGCAGAGGGTGAGACCTTTCGCTTTCCCTCAGGATGGTTTTGATCAGTTGGAGGGCTAGGGGGCTAGGGAGAGAAGATGAGTCCCAAACTCTTCCTCTTAATTCTCCTGGTTGCTCCAGGCTCTGGGACTCAGAGCCACCTCATTACCCTGGCGGTCCTTCCACAGCAGATCTCAGCAGGCAGGCCCTCTAGGGAACCCTTTCCCTCTCAGGGCAGGAACTGAGCCAACACATTGTACAGAAACGAGGGAAAACACTCCCTGATTTTTAATCTGACTTCCAATCACAGCGCAATGGGCATCACACACACACAAACTTCCAGACCCTGTGGTGGGAAACCCTGGGTGGGTGGGGACAGAGACTCAGAATGGGAGTGCAGGGAATCAAAATCAAATACCTGGGGTGCAGTGGAGGGGGTGAGGGGGGCTGGCCAGGCAATACATTCCAATGGCTCCCACAAGGGGTAGCCAGAGGCCTGGGTTCCCCACACCCACCTCAGGTGCCTCAGCTAGGGGTGACAGTGATGGGGCAGGTGAGATGCTGCCATCCCTCACCCCAGCCCCCTGGTGAACCAGGGGGCAGGGATGCAGGGGATAAAAGGGGGCAGGCCCTCTTCCTTACCCTCCCAGCCACTCCCAAGGTGTGGGGAAGGGGAGCCACCTCCTCTGTTTCAGAGGGAGGCTCAGAGAGAGCCGGTCACTTGCCCAAAGTCATGCAGCAGAGCAGGGACTAGAACCCAGGAATATGGGACTGCCCCAGGTCAGGGCAGTCACTGCAGGGCTGCGGATACACCCCATGGGTGGAGAGAGAATCAGCTGGGGAAGTAGAAGGGAGAATCCGATTCCCTCTCACACTAGATCTGGATAAATTCCCCACCCATGACCCCTCCCCCAGACTCCGTTCCATCACCACTCTGGGCTACCTGATTTTTCTGGTCTAGACGCTGCAGCTTGGCTACATCGAGGCTGGGTTGTTCTATCTGCCCGTCTTCTAACAAGGGACCTTCTTATCTTCTCACCACACCAGGGCTCAGGGCTCAACCTCAAGGAGCACTCAGCTGGGGGCAGGGGACACACGCCATTGGTCCCACCCTCCAAGTACCCCAGTAATCCCTCAGGCCGCTCCTAGTATCTTCAATGAATTTTGTTATTTCTAAATCGGTACAAAACTGACAGTGATCAGCTCCGGTGACAAGAGGTAGAAACCGGCCAGGTGGCCGGAGAAAATGGGGTGGAGTGAGTCAGGGCATAGGGCCAACTGGTGTTGGGACAAGGGGGCATCAGATCCTGAGGGCCTCCATCTAGGGGTGGGTATGTGGGCATATCTCCCCCAAGGACAGGGGTCTCCATAATTCTTATCCTGGCTCTGCCCCTCCCCAGATTTATCAGAGAAATCTGAGATTCAAGGCAGGTAGGGTCTGGGGTAGTCAGATTGGAGTGGGATGGGGAGATAAGAGTCTTCACTAGCACAACCTAACCCCTCCCCCTCACAGGGCACCACCTTGCCCACCACCAGCCCCCCAAACCCAACATCCCCCAATCTTGCAGACCACCCAACGCAAGGGGGAAGAGAGGGCTGGAATCTGGCATCATGGAAATAAATTTATCCTTTGGGGGATTCCCTCTCCACACTGTCAAGGAAAACAAAAAGTTTTAACCCAGGGGGTGATCTGGCTTTGGGGTCAGGAAGGGGACGAGGGGCACCCGGCAGGGATGGACCATCGAGTTAAGGCTGGAAGGTAGGTTGTTGTGTCTCTGGGGGCTGCTGGGCGGGGAGATCTCCCTGGAAGGGGGAGAACTCAGCCTTCTCCCCCTGACTGACCCTTGACCTCAACCCTCGGACCCTGACTATGGTCCTTGGGCCACCCGCATCTCTCTGCCCTGTGCCCGTGGTGCTGACGGTCCAAAGGCTGGCCTCACAGAGAAGCTGCCAGGATCTGCGACAAGGGGGTGAACGAAGTGAGAGCCCTGTGAACGGAGCCAAGGGAGGGAAGGTGGACCGGAGGGTGGATAAGACAGCTAAGGGCCAACAGACGCTTGGGCAGACAGACACAGGAGTAGACGACGCAGGGCAATGACAGACACACTCTCTGGAGAAGACGGGTGGGGGCCCCCGGCCAAGGCAGCACCTCCCCACCCCCGCCCCCATACCCCGCGCTCACCGCCAATCCCCAAAGGCTGAGGCGCCCCTTGGGGGCCTGGCCGGGCACTGCGCTAACTCCAGCACTAAGGGCAGCGGGCCCAGGAAGACCACTGGCCCAGGAGAGGGCTTGGACTGGGCAGTTACCGGAGGCTCTCTCGTCCTCCGCCCCTCACCGGGAGGCGCGCGGCTGCGGGGCCGTCGCAGGCCCGGACCGTCAGAGTCCTACCCCGCCCCTCCGCGCCCGAGCCCGGCAGTCCCCGGGGAGGTCCGCGCCCGTCGGGATGCGGCCGCGGGCGGGCGCGTTGTCACATGATGGCGCAGCGGTTGCGGCGCAGCGCGCCCTGGAAGCGCAGGGCGGCGTGCACGTGCTTGCAGCGGGCGCAGCCGACGCTCTTGAGCAGCTCGCTGAAGAGCAGCAGGATGTGCCAGTTGTACTTGGCCGAGCACTCCACGTAGCCGCACTTCCAGGTCTTGCGCACCAGGTGTGACACGTTCCAGCGCGGGATCACGCGCCCGCGCTGCAGGTCCCGCTTGTTGCCCACGATGATGATGGGCGTCTCCGAGGTGCCGATCACCCTGCGGGGGTGAGGGGGGAATCTCAGAACTCCACAGTCCGGTCTCATAACCACTGGACTTCGAGCAGGGCCGGCTGTGCCTGGTCAATACTGCTACTACCATACTTGTGTTCCGCCTGCAGCGCTAAGCCCTCGGGATACCTTATATTGTCCAATCAGAACAACTGATCTGAAAGGTAGGTACTATTGTTATCCCCAATTTACAGATGAGGAACCTGAGTCTAACCTGTTAAGTGGCTTAAAGTCATGCAGAAGAGTGACCCTGACATTTTTTTTTTCCCTCCCCAGAGCCCCTGCTCTTAAGCACTGCACTAGACTAGCCACCCCCTGGTAAGAATCCCAAAGTGAGTTATTAGAAATGGGGACATAACATAGTGTGTGTGTGAGAGAGAGAGAGAGACAGAGACAGAGACAGAGAGAGAGAGAGACAGAGAGACAGAAAGAGAGAGAGAATGTGCGGGAACCAGAGGATATTTCATCTAGCAACTCTGCGCGCACCCCACTGTTGCACCCTTAAACAGGAAGTAGCCAGCATTGGTATCCCAGCCCCTCACCTCGTCTCTAGGATCTGCTGGCGGATGGTCTTGACGTACTCAAAGCTGTCAAAGCAGCAGATGTCGTAGACCAGGATGTAGGCATGGACGCTCCGGAGTCCCCTGCAACAGGCATCTGCCCACTCCTGCAACACCCCCAGCCAGTGCCAAGGTCAGGGCCACTCGGGGACCTCCCCTTGCCCCCAGCCACCTCTAGCCAAACACTGACAGCACTCTCACCTGCCACTGCACCCCAGACCTTCCACACCCACCCATCCCAGGAAGCCTGGCCCAGGAAAATGGACAAGCTCGGTATTGGGGCTCCCCCACCTCCAAGCCAGGATAGGGAAGGTCACACTATCTGACCTCCAGAGCCAATGCCCTCACTGTCCTGTGCACATCTGGAGCTGAGATCAGCCTTGTCCCAGTTTTATCGCCCAACCTGTCCATCCATCCATCCGTCCGTCCATTTGGACCTTTGTTCCAGTACATTTACTAAGTGCCCCTAAGAGCCCAGCCCTCTGAGCTAGTTGATAGATCCTGTGAAATCCTGCATCTTCCAAGGCTCAGCTTAAATGCTTCCTCTTCCTCCAGGAAGCCTTCCTGCAAGCAGAAGACTATGCCTTTCATCTCCTGTGTTCTTCTTCTTCCTCTTTTTTTACTGTTTATTTATTTTTGAGAGAGAGAGCATGGGCAGGGGAGGGACAGCGAGGGAGAATCCCAAGCAGGCTCCATGGCACCAGTGCAGAGCCCATGGGGGGCTCGAGCTCACAAACCGTGAGATCTTGACGTGAGCCGAAGTTAAGAGTCAGACGCTTAACTGACCGAGCGCCCAGAACATCTCCTATGTTCTGAGAATCCTTTAGTTATACCTTGGTTAGAGCTGTTTCCATCCCCAGTTCCCTGCTTCTGTTGTGAGCTCTTGAGAGGGCCCTAGCCAGGTCTTCCACATTTTTACACACCTCCTTCTCCTCCCTGCTGAGTGCCTCCCAGCTGTGTTGGCTCTCAGCAGGCTCTTTAATTGCACTGCCTAGACTGGTGAGCCCTCTGCAGTCTTGAACCCTACCTGTTCCATGCTGGAATCAATGCAACGCCCGCCTATAACACTGCCCTTGGATTGCTACCCGAATTGTGTAGCAAATCCTTTCTGTGTGCTCCACGCTGCCCTCAGGGTCGAGGAGAAAAAGACTGAGACTGGACGCACAGTGGGGGCTGAT